AGATTAACAGAATGTTTTTAAAGTTAATGCACAAGAGAAACTTTTAAAAATTAGGTATCATCTATGCATTTCCGGTTATAATATGGAAGGTACTCTGTGCCAGAAACTGTGTGATGATTGTGAATGAGCCACAGTTATGAGAGAAATTTTAAACTCTCGTTAACCAAAGAAAGCTAAGAGATTTATATAACCATATCTTCAGTAGCTTCATTATTTTTGTTATGTTTACATTATAACCATATAAAACTAGTTTTTACGGTTTAATGCACGAAACTTTATTTATTTATTGACGTTTCGTAGCCTTTACAGGCTTCGTCGTCAGAATAAAACTTTTATTTAATTTGTCGAGCTACCTTCGAAAGACTTTTATTGAGCGTTTGGTTATTTCATTGTTCGATTTTTAAGTTTTATTGTCTATGTATGAATTTATTATTTAATTTACTTAATAAAGTATTTTATTTCAAATTGTTTTTTGAGTTTATTTATTTGACCCTAACTACCGTAAACTACCACCGGTTCCAAAATTGGGAGACCTTTCTGAGAAGAACCGGCGAAACAAACTCAAGAGAGGCTTTCTATCTCCTTCTTATTTACAAAAAAGAATTTGAAATAAAATACTTTATTAAGTAAATTAAATAATAAATTCATACATAGACAATAAAACTTAAAAATCGAACAATGAAATAACCAAACGCTCAATAAAAGTCTTTCGAAGGTAGCTCGACAAATTAAATAAAAGTTTTATTCTGACGACGAAGCCTGTAAAGGCTACGAAACGTCAATAAATAAATAAAGTTTCGTGCATTAACCCGTAAAAACTAGTTTTATTTAATGAGTGATGTGCGTGAAAACCTAAGAAACAAATATTATAACCATATTTTAGATTTTTAGTGTATCACTCCTTATAATATTTATGGCGGTGTTTGGCGAAAAATGTTGGCCGTAGACTTTATATAATTGTCTTAGCACATTTCCATGTAGTGAAAATGATAATATAGTTGTGGATATTAATACCACAGTGTAATAAAAAAAATGTTTTGTTTTATTGATCTTTACAAAATAGATTTGATTTTATGTTATACTAACGGCCCGCCCTCGCTTCGCTTCGGTGTAGAGCTGAAGTGTAGACTACAGTTTTTGTTCTCAGGCTTGTATTATACACAATGACATTCATCTATAATTCTTCTTATACCTGCATGCAAAGTCTCAGGCATTGTCCTAATACAACGCGATAACGCGATCATCGCGCGATTAAACGATGCGACCATCGCGTGATCGCGAACTGGGTGTCCTAATAGAACGCGAATACGGAACGGGTTAGCCCTGCCCCTCTCCCCGCTTCCTATCGACGCGACGCGATCATCGCGCGAACTTCAGTTAGGACACCTATTCATCGTTAATAGGTTTGTTTGCGCGTTCGCGTGAACTAAGTTCGCGCGAATAGATTTTTAAACATTTTAGTCGCGCGAATGCATCACGCGATCGCCTATTAGGACACCTATTCTAGATCAATATGTTTGATCGTCGAATCGTACGATGATCGCATCGCTCATTCGCGTTATCGCGTTGTATTAGGACAATGCCTCAGCCCGATCGGTTTAAAATTGACAAAGTTTCATTCCCTATTTTATCCCCTTGGGGGTAGAATTGATCAAAATCCTTTCTTAGCGGATGCCTACGTCATAACATCTACCTGCATGCCAAATTTCAGCCCGATCCGTCCAGTGGTTTGGGCTGTGCGTTGATAGATCACTATGTCAGTCAGTCACCTTTGAGTTTTATATATATATAGATAAACAACTTCGATCAGTCTTTGGCTGAATGTTACTACACCCATAGCCATTAAAAATGATTCGTATGTTTTTCATACCGGTAAAATTAAAAGTACTTTTTAAAATGAATATATTATGCAAAGGTGTCCTTTAAAATCTAATGACTATAAAATAAAGTATAAATTACGCCAAGAATTACCTTAAATGTCCATATTTTTTGTGCATTTGGGCCAATTTGAGCAATCTCCTTTGATCTACTTTGTTATTAGGTTTTTGACTTACTCTTAAAGTGGGTAGATAAGAAATTTTAACGCTAAATGGTGGTAGCCTTTGAACATTATGTTTTCTCTACTTCATTTAATCAATAACATTAAGCACTTAAATTTTTCAGTTACATTCTAATATTCTGTAAATATACAATCTGAGTGACTACAATGTACTAATTAGTTTTTGTTTAAATTTGATAAGAACTTGTGATTAACGTTCACTTAACAAACTATTAGGGATTGTTAGACAGTTTTATTATCATAAGGGCTAATTATTTAAAACTTACTTTTTCACAATTTCCTTCAAAGTTACTGAAAAATGTTATTGTGTCATATCTAATCGTTGTCGCAACTATAAAATGAAATCAATCAGGCTCCTGAAAACGAGGATCAGTTTTAGTTTATTACACAGTCAGAACCTGGATAAACAAAAACTGGACAAGTATGAAAATTATATTAGTACAAAAATATTTAGATCCCGTCATTTTAACCCCGAAAATCTCTAAGTATAAGTGAAAGTCTTAGTTACTTTTAGAGAGAGAGTCTGAGTGCACTTCTAGACCTCTGTAAGAGACACTTTTAACAACAATATTTCAATGGAACTCTCCAAACTTGCAAATCGAATCAAAGCCAAACCGTGCCCTTGTTTGTAAATAAGAAAGTCATTGTTTTTCATGGAACCAAACATCTGCAGCACACTTGTGCGCTGAATCCTACCTGCTCATGGTATACATTCCGGCAAGACAAGGAAGCCTGCGCAGTAGCAATTTTATATACAAAAACGCCTACTGCGCAAGTTTATTTGTCTGTGGTTTTATTCAAGAAGTTTGCCATTAATCCTCAACATTCGGTTTGAGTTGATATTATTAACACTACAGCACCATGTCTATGTTCACTTTTTATTAACCTCTATAAATGAAAAAACTCTATGAATGAGAATAATATTGGGATACCTTGAATTCTCGCTTACCCAGGTTCGACCGTATTTTTATGTTTTTAACATCTAATGCAACTGTTCTTTAAAATAATTGACTCTACCAAGTTATCAAGCTGGATCTGCTTTAGTTTCTTGTTTAAGTAAGAATTACTTACATGCATTGCATGCAAGCACAGTGGAATGTACTTAAATTATACTTCACTAGCGACCACCCGAGACTTCGTCCGCGTTAACTTTAGTTTTTTAAGAATCCCTCAGGAATCTAAAAATGTTCCGGGATTAAAAGTATTATATGTCTCAATCTAGATCATAAACTATATGAGTACGAAATTTCATCCAACTCCGTCCATTAGTATTTGCGTGATTGAGTACCTAACAAACATACAAACTTTCACATTTATAATATTAGTAGGAAGCAGGATTGATTATGTGTGAAGTGTAATGCCGATTTTCACGCTATTACATACAACTATTAATTAGGGCCAATTTCAATCATGTAAAATTAATATGTATGTTGTTTAGTTCACTTTGACTAGGTATTGTTATTGGTATTATATCTTTATTGAATTATTTATTTTTAATAAGAATATACAATACTTGTAAAAGTATTCATTTGACATTGTGGGTTTACCTATAATGCGAAGAGATGGCGCTGCCTTGCAGCTTAAGAATAGCTAGAAAGAATTTCGACGCGGTCCGTGAGGGCCGCGGTAGCATAATTGGTCAGTGCATTCGCCCGAATTGCGAAGGGTGCGGGTTCGAGTCCCGTCTGCTGCCTGGTCCGCGTGGAATTTTTTCTAGTTATATTTTCTTTAGATTTAAACATCAAGCAGTTACATGCTTTAAAAATAATAAAAAAAAAAAATGGTTGCCTGTAAAGTCGGTTTTACGGGCGAAGATTTTACGTGACAACGTCTTTTTCTCGGTAGAATATTTATTGATATGAATATAATTAAATTGCACAATAGGAACAAGGAATTGAATGAAAATAAGAATTGCACAAATTTTAACTATAGAAATATATTTTGTTTACTAAAACATTGTACATGTAAACTTAAACTTAACACGAGAGACTCATCGTAACGTTACCGAGCGTTACACTTTTTCATAAGTGACTCCCAGCCGCAACCTAATTTAAGACGTTGTCACGTCAATAAGTAAAAAAATTATAAGAATATACAACTTAATATTCTGTAAATATTTCAAGCGTGTGCCTGTTGTCGTTATTATTATCGAGAAAAAACGGCAAAATAATCATGTTTGTTGTATGGGAGCTCCAGTTCAATATTTATTTTATTCTGGTTCAGTATTTGTTGTTATAGCAACAGAAATTCCTTAAAATATCAACTGTCTAGCTCTCACGATTCATGAGATACAGCCTGGTGACAGGCAAAGAGACGGACAGAGTCTTAGTAGTAGGGTCCCGTTTTTACCCATTGGGTAGGTACTGAACCCTATTAAGCATTAAAAATGAATATCACTGATATTCATTGTTAATGTATTTCACAAAATTACAATAATACTTTAGCGCAGTGTTAAAATATATTAGATATACCTACACATTTAAAAATATAAAAGAACTACCGAGAAATAAGGAAAAACTATTCAGACTTTACACATTTAATTTTGAATTATGCTAATGTGCCTCTGATTGACAATCCTCATTTTTCCTTCCTCAGTCTTCATTTGAGGAACGGATTAGATAGATTTCGGCTAATGTTAAGCACTTGGTGGTCGCGTATCGGCATTAACTTGCGGGCAACGGGGACATGAGGGTTCCATTACAAGTTTTTTCACATGATTGCGGTAACCAACCGCGGTGTCGGCGGAGGCGATGGCGCCACGGCAACGTAGCGATGACTGACATCCCTCGCATTCGCTCCAACGCCGGCTCACGAACGCCCGTTTGCGGCACGCTCCCACAACGCCGCCGCGCGCCAACTCAAAACCTAATCCCATCACCAATGGTGTTTGTGCACATTACAGAACATTGGCAAACCGAATTGAACAAAACCCATCGCAACCATGGACAAGGATCGAGCGTTGGAAGAGATGATGGGGAAACTCGGTAAGTGCAAACATATGGAACTTCGCTTACTTTTACGAAGCAGACACGCGTTCTTTTCGTCGATTCGTGAGCTTACGGTGTCACCGTATTGTATTAAACTTGACTACTGTTGTAATTATATTTAATAACTGTGGAAATATGTAGTGGAATTTAAGTAAAACTTATCTCGGTTAGAATTTTTGCAAAATGTAGAGTTTCATACACCAATTGCACCTACGTTATAACTTTGTTTATTGCAAAAATATTGTGAATTTATGAATGAAATGATGTACGTATTTACTAATAACAAAAATATCATAGGTCTCTTTTGATCATGACGATAAAAGGCCAAGTACCTACCTAAGTGACTTTAAGTATAGTAAAACACCGCAGACACAGCGTGACTTAATCTATTCACAAACCTAACGGTATCAAACATTAAAATCGAGAGTAGATCCGATCATTCTGCATCGAACATTTGTTGAACATGTCATGAAGCAACTTTTTATGTTTTAAGTAAAGTTCCGAAACCAGATATATAAGATTAAAAAAATATACTTATCAGAAACAGATGTTGACCGAATTCGAAGCAACCGATTCGATAGTTTTGCAGTTGTAAAGTAACTGTTCAATGATTAAGTAATTTTATACAATAGGCGAGTTCCTTCAGGCGATGGATTACCAAAATTCATTACCTAACGCAACACTGACCCACTTTCTGTAGGGTTTCCTCGAAGGACTTATGACTTATACCCCTACGCAGTTTGTGAATTAAACTAAATAGCACAGTTAAATATGAAAAAAATACACCAAAATTGTTCTCATATTGTCTTCATTATTCTATTGTTATTTGATGTAGTGGAACAACTAGATGCAAAAATTGCAGCTGCAGTTTGAAACACAATTCAACGTAAACCTAAAGTAGGCTTTTAGAACATTTTAAAGCTGGTTGAGCCCTACGTATGAATTTTAGATTCCAAACATATTATAATGAAAATTAATACATATATTCGAGGGAAATAAAATATGATATCTATGGAAATAATAGAACATAAACCAGGCTGCAATCTCTTGAGATATCATTATTGTTTAAAGATTATATATTATAACAAAATATTATTTAATTCCCCGTTTGAAACAAAAAACAACAATTTTATTTTAAACCTTTTATCGAATAGATGCGAGAACACAGTTGCAATATTTTTTTTCAAGTTTATGGAATCTACGGTTAGTAATTTCAATTGTTTTTGTACATAAAGGGCATGTTTCACAATTGTTTGTTCTCATTCCAAATGTCCGATCCTAATCTTAGATTATCATGCTATCTGCAATACCTCACTTTATCATGCACGAGTAAAATCGGCCCTGAACATTATAAAATAATAATTCATAAGCAACTTTCATATTTTATATTTTAATGTGGTTGCTACTGAATGCTGATAATTTTGTTATAGTAAATTTTTAAATTAATAACCTTTTATCTGTTGGGTTGATGGAACTATACTCTGTCACGCGTTACATTATGAACTCATTATCTATTATAACGTAAACATAATGATTAATTTTGATGAATTATATGGCATTTCTGCGCTGTACATCTTTCTTATGTCTTAAGAGCACGTGCTATTTTGGATTTCATTTTAGATTTTTCATGTTTTCAAGAATATTTTGAGTCCCTTTCGTGGTCCTAGCTTAGATGCATCTCCACATTTTTCCTTTATATTCTTTTAAGCAGAACTATTCAAATCACTTTATTTTTTGTGGTTATTATATATAAACAAGTGCTTATACTTACCAAGATTTGAACAATAAAGCAAGACTCATCTCAGCGGTTTCAAAAACGAGTCGTAATAAATATTAAATATCTATACGCACAATAAACGCACTTCATAGCCATGAAACTGCTATCAATTACAGCATATGTTTTATACCTAATATACATTATAAAAAAATTATATGTATTTTCTTACATTTAAACTATTTTATGAAAATTACAATTCCAGATATTAATTGTATGATTTGAGTATCATGTTATGAAAAAAAAATCAAAGAAAGATGCAATAAAAACAGTTTTACAAGAACTGCATTGGCGCCATCATTTAATTACGCCATTTAATAGACGAACAGTAACAGTTGCTTCGGTTATCTGTGATTTTTTAGAGCCAGTAACTTCGAGTTTAGTAATAATAGGTAGGCTATTTGTGCAACGCTTTGTTATATGCTGGTGATAACTATTGCGTGAACGATAAAGCAATAATTAGATGCCTAGTTATCACATTTTTTATCGACCCTTGTTTCTATAGTGATAAGTTGGAGTCATACAGAAATGAAGTTTTTTTATCCCTTTATTATAAAGACTTTTGTATTACATCTATACATGTTAGTGCCATTGTGACTGTACGATATTATTTTCGAAAATTCACATAATTTTTCAAATCCAACTTTTTTTCTGTGAATTTGGAAATCAAAAACGTTTCTTTTGGAGTTAGGCTCTGTGAAGTAAGCAGTGGAATATCCCAACATCTTGTTGATTGATTTTCAAAGCCGCAACTTTTTTGTTTCTTAGGTCCTGGTTCCTTACATATTTCATCAATAAATGTTGGACTCAGTCAGTTTTATCACAATCCGCACAATTAATTGAATTTACTTTCTTCATAATATAACCAAAATTTTCTAATTGAACTCATCCGGATCCAAGCCTATGAGCTGCTATAATTAAATTTCGGTCAATGCGAACGTTGGTTAACCACGGTATATGAGGAGGTTAGTAATGAAGTTAGGAATCCATACTTAATCCTTGCTAATATGCGGAAGTGTGTTTGTTAGTCTGTTATCTCTTCACACTTAATCCATTCAACCAGTTTAGATAAAACTACAATAGTTTTTCCAGAAATTAACCTTTAAGAGAGTGGAAAGGTGGGTATAAGTGTATATAGCAAATGAAATTTTCCACGCAGTCACGGGCTAGAACTTAACTAAAATAAAATGGGAAAAATGACATCCCCATAATATTTGCAGTGTACCTTCGTGCTTGAGACTATAACATGACTGAAAGTACGAATGGCCGTCAAAGCCAATGGCATTGTAGCCAGTCTTGTATGTAATTTATCGTCACCATTAAGCATGCAAGTTTACGTTCTAAGTAATGGTATAAAAGGTTTTTTTTGTCTAATTCTTTCTTTTCTTTGGTTCCTATTGGCAATGTTCTATAGGAAAACAAGATAACGATTTACGAAGGCATAAGTTCTGCTTTATTACACAAATAGAAAATTGGTCTTAAATTATAATGATAAGGGTTTTTTTATGTTGACCTTCAATGTAAAGTAAATCCACTTATAATTACGTGATTATGTTAAAGTTATTGTGTGAAAATTTAGAAGTATTCTTAGCTTAAATCGTTTAGGTGTACGAGTAAAATCGGCCCTGAACATTTCAATACGTAAGCAATTTTCACATTTTATATTTTTGTATCATTAGATTGTAATACGACATTTATTCCGTCCATATTATTAAGTAAGACCCTTCATTAAATATCTAAGTACCTAATATATAATAAACACTTGTGTATAAGTAAACTCGTGTATACTTCACCTAGAGGCTCTACAAACTCTACATCCATATTTTATTAGCGAATTCCGTTCACTCATCTATCTCTAAGCCCGCGTACGTGGTCCATCACATTGAGAATTTTTGGACTGTTGGACTTTCGTTCTATCTCGAACGCACTATTATAAACCGAATGTGATGAAACCCTCGCGAAGTAATGCAATACTTATGTTTTAAAAATAAATATTATAATCCTTTGATTAAGAATTAATTTTAAGGAATAATAAGTTTCACGCACAGGTAAAAAATATCCCAAGTCACACTTACAAATAAAAAGCTCCCGAAACAAAAATGAACTCTAAAAGGGGAAAAAACTCGACCTTTAACTCCATTAATTTTGAGCTTTTTTATAGTATTTTTTATTTTATTTTTATTTCATTCTCTTTAAATTAGTCGTGGACCCTAGATCCGCAATATATCTACATGATTGATTTTTTTTTAAATTATTATTATATGGTTTGGTAGTGTAGCAATAAAATTTTGATCTGAATTATTTTTCTTTTCTGCTAGGGCTCCTTGTATTTAATATTTGTTTGTCAATACGTGATTATGTAATTGTTGTGAACGTACCTTTGATTTTTTTTTTTGTTTATTTATATGATTGTTGGGGATTAATTACTATATTTATCCCCAACAATCGTTGAAATTAATCTAGGTTATTAAACGGATTAACCTAGTAGCGGGAGTAGCTAATTTGCTACTCCTACTTCTAGGTTAATCCGCCACTGGACAAACTAAAAGAAACACTTCGATCGTCATTAATTCATTGAGACCATTCTTTTGAGCCCAAATACGCTACATCTGCTGTAATTATCTGAGCAGTTGAGTTTTTGATGCTGTGTCATCACCTGAAGTTACCAGGTCTTTAAAATTCCACCGAAGTAAAAGTGCACCAAATTCTAAATCAATAGTAACTTTGAAATTGGTAATAACCTTCTTTCAATTGGGAAATGACCTGATAATCCTCAAACTCCTGAACAGATCTTCATATATTATAGCTAAGAACCATCTCGCCGCATAAAAGACCGCAACCAAATCGGTCCATGCTTTAGGAGCTGCGATGCCACAGACAGACACACAGACCCACAGACTTATAGGCACGTCAAACTTATACAAACCCCTATTTTTGCATCGGGAGTTAAAAATGCAATCTACAAATACATACAGTTAAACTGAGAACCTTCTCCTTATCGAATTCGATTGATAAAATACCATTTATCACAGCACCAAAGTATACCGAATTTTGATTTTAATTTAGTTTTAAAATCTTAGCGACGCCATCGCCAATATTAAAGGCTGGCTTGTATGTTTAGTTGAAGGAAATATAGTTACATATATTAATATGACTCAAATACTTGTTTTTGTATTTGGAATTGGCACTTTAATTTAATGCAGCATTCTTCCTTCTGCCAGCT